GTTTGTGCATTTACAGCGAATGTTGTAATTGGTTAAACGAGAGATAAAATGTATTTTTCAGCTGGAGATCGTTTGGATTAAATATTCCACAACATCATGATACAACAGTTGGAGTCTGTGAGGTCTGCATGTTAGATTTAATGCACATTTATGTCTACATGTTTTTACACACGGCTGCAGAGAACAGGTTCCTGCTCCACTCAGCACCCAGAGGTAGATCCTCAGTCTCTGGAGGACACAGATAACCTGACTATGCCACACTTTAAAGTTCACCAGTTACCACATCAATTATCATCATGACATGACGTTGCCTGGCAACCACCAGGGGATTCCAGGGGATTAGAGGATTTACAGTAGTGGAAGCATCATTTAATGTTGCTTTTTTAAATTTGGTAGTACATTATGAACACATTCAAAATCAGGTTTTAAAAATAGTTCCTTATATTGTTAAGCATAACCTGGCAACCAGGCATATAATAAATACTAATAGCAATGCATGGGTTATTAGAAGGTACTTTTTGCATGCAGTAGTTTAATCTGGGAACCACTCATGTGCCATTGTAACGCCAATGCAGTAATGTAAGATTCAAGTCTTTTTAAATGACTCACCTGTAGGGGGCATTAATGGGCATTTCAAATACCCTGGTCCAAGAGATTGCCTAGTAATAAGCAAATTTAATGATTTTTTCCCTGTGTCATGTCCTGTCACCTGAAACAGTATGAAATAAAATATTAGTGTCCATGTGATGTGACATGGTTCTAGCATCATATTCAATCTTATATCTATTGCTCATTTCTACAATATATACTAAGAAAAGTAAATATTTGGTTAAACAATTTGGTGAAACAAATGTTACCTGAGACGTGGATGTGAGATGACCCTGAACACGACCTCTTCTTTGGTATAATTTACCACCATCTTGTACCTTTTGGTTGCATTACTGCCACCTACAGGGTCTAAGCTCCATAGATAACCTCAGCTCCTGGCAAGGAGAAAATAGCGACAGAGGGCAGGAGCAGATATCATAAAGAAAAATGGAACTTGTCGGTCTGAGAAGAACGATGTCCTTAAGACTGTACTGAACTTGAAGAATTAGTGCATAAAAATGGCCATATACCGCATTTATCATTTCTTTTGATTTCCCCTTGTGAAAGTCTCCTGGATGCAGTAGAACATACAGTGGTGCTGAGGCGATCGTGTGATGAAAATTGACCAGGGAACGGCTTTTAAAAACCTACAGGATCACTGTTCCACATCCTGCTCCTCCACCATCAGCTGTTGGTGGAGGAGCAGAGACGGTGTCAGGGGAGGGCACACAGACTGCTAGGAGGAGAGAAGAGACGGGTGAAGTCCTGGCAAAGATACAAGTAGACAGTAACAAGGAACCAAGAAGAGGAAATGAGCTCAGTGGAGGGAAGAGCAGAGGGCTGCGGGAGGAGAGAGAAAGGAGATAAGTAGCTTTTTATTGGAGTTCATTTCCTTGGATGGCAGGATATTCAACAGCTTTTATTCCTTACGTTATCAATGGGGATGAAAGAGCTTACAGGCTAGTGCATATCAACACTGCCCTCCGCAGGTTGTACAAGAGATTTCAAGAATTAGAAAATAAAAACGATTCAAATGATAATAGGTTAATATGGAACGACGGAGATATTCGTAAATCAGTTTATCTGTTGTAGCTAATATGGAAAACTTATAATTATTGTGTTTGGTATAATGTCTTTCTAACATTACCAACTTATGTATGAATTGTAATGACCAGTACTTAAAATGTGAGTGTTTGTCTCTACGTGTCAGTAAAATGAACTGTGTAATTGTTCATCCAACTGGATGTAATTCCTAAGTACTTTCCAGTCTAGGTCACCATATCTATCTCAGTAGTTCACCACCGCTAATGCAGTATTATTTGAAAAGTTACACGCATTTAGCTGTGATTAATGCCATTAACTTTTTATGATGGGAAGAAATTATTCGTCGTGTTGCACTTCTCCTGCCGGGGGAGCTGTTGGTAAATGTAGGGAATAGATAGTGGCTCTAAAGAAAAAAAATTGAATTTAAACTAGGGTTAAAGGAAACTTTCAGAGATGGTTAAGGCCTAAGGACAAATTAGAGCAACATTAACACTATTACTATAATAACCATGATTAATTTGTGACAGGTGATGACAACTGTTGTCATCTTACTGTGACACAAAAGAACGAACCACCGTGATGAGTCTGTTGTTCATTTTAAACATCGAAATGAATTGCTGAAAAAGTCACTGAAGTTTTTTGTCCATTTGTCATTAAATGTCTTACTGAAGTGCAAACCTTATTAAAACTTCAAACATATAACAGTAGAATTTTACATTTTACTTCCCTCGGACCTTTAATTTCTATTGACTTTGATATTATTCACACTCACTTCTATGACACATATTACTGTTCACATAACACCAACTACTTTGCAGTTATTCATTCCATACTGAGAATTAGCAAATTAAATTTTACCTTGGCTGAAAAAATAAAAATAAATAAAAAAGCTGCATCGATGTAAACAGTGCTGACTGAAGCCAAAAAGCTGCAATGGAAAAACTGCATATGTGCAGGAGTTTATCTCTGAAGGCTGAACAGCCTCAGAGTCCAGGACTTCAATTTCAGAGGACAGACCAAAGGGCTGAGGCCACATACTGCACTGTACTGCACTGTACTGTGTATGCTGCCCAGAGAGTGCTGACATGACAGTAGTCCATGTAGTAACCATTCCCTGTGACTGAATGAACCCATGTGTAATGGCTGAGTGCATTTATAAAGAAAAAAAAAACTGGTCTGTGTACAGTTGGCTTCATGGAATAACTCCTACAGTTGTGGTTTACCTTCTGTGACCTCACTGTATGAAGGAGTAGAACAGATTTTACTCTAAATACACACTCAAAATACTGGTACTCTGTCTAGAAGCTGTAAGAATGACCGTAGTTTAATAATTACTAAGAGCATTTGAAGAACTCAGTGGTTTTAATGCGGACTGCAAACTTACAGTGATGCTGCACTGCCCCCTGGTGGGCCTAAAAGTAACAAATAGTGGTGTTTTTATATGCATTATTTATGTACACTATTCATACGCACTGGGAGAGACGTGATGCAGGTGTAGAGTTCACTCGATCTCTTCATGAAAGTTTAATTAAACACAAAAACTGATGTATTTAAAAGGCAACAAAATACTATATACCTGTACAAATTAGGCCACAAGGGGGAAGAAGGGGGGTTTAAATAAACAGTAAGGTAATGAGCACGGCTCTACTTGCTGCAAATCGTTGATTCCCATCTTTTTTTTTCTTAAAGTAAACTTAAAATTCTTCAGGCTTTAAAATAATTGTTTAAGTTCTTTATAAATTAAAACAGCTCATTTTAATTATTAAAATGTAATTATTTATGTATTTATTTATTTGCAGGGCTGTAAAAACTAAAAATTCAGGAATTTAAGCACCGACTAAATCCAGAAAAAGGGCAGCCCAAGTCCACCTCAGGTCTGGAGGCTGATTTTGTCCTCCAGCTCTGGTCTGGAAATAAGGGATGTAAGCTCGCAACCACACAAAGAGTTTGTTTTTTCCCCTCTGGTTTGAAAAATTCTCTCAGATCTGGGGAGCTGTGTAAGACAATGTCCATGCTGACTGCTGTGTCCTCAGCTGCATTATTTATACTGTGTCTCACACAGACAACAAAGACTTCAGGGACACAAATACAGGCCTCGGAAAAATATTAGTATGTGGAACATACAGTACTCTAGGACACATGAGAGCCTACAACAGCAGTATTCTTTAATGAGACGTCTACACTGCTGGTTCTCCAACTGTGGTCCACATACCACCAGTGGGAACTCTGCCTCCCTCTAGCTGTAAATGGGGGGATCTGAGCAATATTTAATAAGCACATGGTTAGACAGACAGACTGATGATAGATACTGTAGATGCATAGATGGATAAATGGATGGACGGATGGATGCATAGATGGATAGATGGATGGATGGATGGATGGATGGATGGTGGATGGATGGATGGATGGATGGATGGATAGATAGATGGATGGATGGATGGATGGATGATAGATTGATAGATGGATAGATGGATGGATGGATGATAGATTGATAGATGGATAGATGGATGGATGGATGGATGGATGATAGATTGATAGATGGATAGATGGATGGATGGATGATAGATTGATAGATGGATAGATGGATGGATAGATAGATGATAGATGGATGGATGGATAGATGGATAGATGGATAGATGGATGGATGGATGGATGATAGATTGATAGATGGATAGATAGATAGATATAGTTTCTGCTATATCTGTCTATGTAGATAGATCTGCTCACCTTTTTCCATTTTATTACAAAACCATATTTTAGCTAAGTGAATTTGAGCTAACTTTTAGTAAGTATCATTTAAGCTAGCCTCTAGCTTAATTCTAAATTGTAAGCTAATACGCAGGCTTTGGATTGTTTGTTAGTATTCTAAAAGATAAATAAAATAGGATGTAACTAGTAGAATTACTATAGTGCTATTGAAAGGTTTCTAGACATTAGCCTAATCAAGCTACCCTGCTAATGACCCGTTTGTCATGGTAACTAAAAAAAACTATATTGTCATTAGTGGCCAATAGGGTGTGACGTTGTAAAATTATGGGCTGATATATTTTTTCACTCCTCTGTTTGTTTTGATTCTGCTATGTTTCAAATATATGAGACTTTCCTGTTGGCTGCAGCAGAGCCAGAGCTACAGTACTTGGCAGCAGGTTGCAGTTTAACAGCCGCTGGGAAGACTCTGTGACCTTTGAGCTTAATCAAATTATTACATTTCCATTACCTTCTGTTAACCATGATGAAAACTCTGCAATAAACAGTTTTAGTGAAGCCTGTTGGTCCCTGTGCAGAAAAAGAAAAAGAAATTAAACAACAAACAAAACAGAATTGACATTTTGCTTGGCTGGGAATCATTTAAATTACATGGAAAAAGGTCACTCTGGGAAAATAGCTTTTATTGATAAGAAGATATCAATGACATTAAGGCAACAGCAATACTGACACTGACAGGCAGAATGAATGAGTTGTTGCTTTTTTTTTTTCTTCAGTGCAGTTTTTTTTCTTCTCTTATCAAACCAACGTCACAAAATCCTGTTTTTCAGAAATGACTGTTTCTGGCTTTTGTCGAGTCACTGGACTTTGCATCGTCTGCTTTGGAGCCCTGTGGGATAGCAATATGAATACATTATATGAACATGTACAAAACTCAAGCCTAAAAATATTGGCTTAGATTTCATCTGAAGATCACACAAACACATCTACGTTGTTGAAAAGTGAGATGAAAATTTAGGGGTTTGTAGAATCTAGTCAATCTTCTGAGCTTTTGTTCTACCTTGGACTTGAAGAGGAGGTTGATGACACCCTTGGAGCGTCTGTCTGCCGTCCGGTCAGAGGTCAAACAGGCCGACACACTCTTACTGTCCCTTCTGGCTCTACTGTTGTTCGTCTCCTCTGAAACGCCGACAATGGCCAGGGACAAACCTACGACCAGAAGCAAAGCTGACAGATTTAGCTTTTGTGCATCTGGATACGACATCACTGCTGCGTCTCTCAGCAGCCAAATAGTTGTATTGTTTTTTACTGATGAATTGTGGGTATTAGCCACATCACTGGCACTGTGTGTGCACGTGTAGTGAGGCAGAACAGCTTGTAGTCAACAGTGCTAATCAGAGCTGCTGTAATAACAGCAGAGTCACGGCTGGAGGTCAATGAGGCGTTTGTGAATCATGGCCTGATGTTCTGTTTGAACTGAAAGGACGTGGCTACAGTGGTCAAAGAAATGACAACTAAAGTGATGGCTCTACCAATGTACCCACAAACACACACACACACACACACACACACACTTTCCTGTAATAGCATTTCACGGTTGCAAACATTCATTATTTTCATCATGTTTTATCTAAGGTTTATTGACGACAACTGTTTACTACTAATATGGTGAGAAGTACAAACTTTAATGAAATAAAATACCAAAAATAAAAACCATCATTTCCCAAACAACCCTCACAATGAACAAAACACAAGAACAGATGTGTGTGTGTGTGTGTGTGTGTATGACACCTGTAATGGCGGGCAGCGATCTGGAGTTGGCGCTGGTCAGCGTCACGGTTTCGTTGTTTGGCTCAGACAGGTTGGTGTCACTGCGGAACTCCTGCTTCTTGGACAGCTAGAGGGAGACAGAGATCACACAGGGGTCACAGTGTGTCTCCGTGTGCAGCAGCTAACAGCCCGTTAGTGCTCATCCTCACCCGTTTACTCAGCAGAGTGCTGGTCCTCTCTGTCTCCTCTGTGATGAAGATCATGCTGCTCCTCTTCTTTTTCTTCCTGCTCTTCCTCAGTTTCACCTCCGTCTCTCCCACCGTCACCACCGTCTCCTCTGTTGTACTCACGCTGCCACTGGAGCGCTGTAGGGTGGAGGTCCAGGTGGTGGGGGACTCGGGAGGGTTGTCCCTTAATAGAGTTTTATTAAATAGGGTTTTCATTTGTATCATTTGTATCATAGATGTCGTGATTTAAGATGTTTTGAAAGTTAGGGAATGAGTTCGAAGAGTATTTTGATGCATGAAGTCACTAGTTACCATCATGCGCTAACAAATATAATTAATGTCAGTCATACTTGTCTGTTTGTAACTTGGTCGGAGTCCCACAGTCAGACCCCTGCAGTGAGGAGATTGAGATGATGGATTGTCGAAAGGAGCGCAGTACAGAGCGAGGACGAGTGGACTTCCTGTCGTCCAGTTCTGGCTAGAAAGTTTAAACACATTATGATTAGGTGTGAAAACATAAGTCACATCAACAGAATCTAATATAGATGTTCTCTCATGTGGAGATAAACTAAGCTAAACCCAAACCTCAGTGGGGAGGCTAACTCGCAGCCAGCTGAACAGAAAGTGTCAATTATAAATATTTATGAAGCAATTGAAACAATCGAATCTGCCCTTTACTGAAAATACTTTTTTTTTTAAACAGCATCAAACATCTACCAGCGTCAGCTCATTTAAGGCAAATTTATCAAAACACTTCCAAAAAGTCGTTCCACCCAAACTACTGTTGTTTTGCCATCTTACCAACTCTCTGACCCCGTACTCCTTCTCTACTTTCTTCTTCAGCTGTTTGAAACAGTCCTCCATTCGTTCGTGGAAAGGACGCAGGTCATCGGTCACTCTCTTTCCGTGGAGGGAAATGCCTCCGCCCAGTAATGGGATCTGCAGTGGGAGAACAAAACAAATCAACAGAAGGTTCAAAAATAGAGAAACACCACTGCAGTAGTTGAACACTGTACCTGCCAGGCGATGAGGTCTTTGAGACGCAGCAATTTCTCTCTGTCTCCAGGATGCTGCTCATTGTACTCATCAGTGAAGAAGGCCTGGTTTGGAGAAAAACAAATGGAATGCGTTAATCTTTTGCTAAATGACTTTTTAATTCCCTCAGGTGCTGGATTTGTCCTGGATTGGTTTTACTGCTGGTATTACAGGGGTAAAAACTCATATTTTGTACATTATGTCAACCTTGAAGAATAATTATTATCCTATAATAAACTGGGCCCTGGGGAGGGGAGGGGTCACAGGGGGGCGCTAATGCCTGATATAAATTCAAGTCAAGTCAGTGCAGGTGAAACATCTTTTAATTTCAGATCATTTATAAGATCATTTCAAAAGGATGTAAATCATGATTTTTTTTAATCACTGTTGTGTAAAGGAATTTATAGGACTACTTAGTTGGAGCTTTTAGATGAAAAAATAATCAAAATCCACCTCATTATTATGCTACACACAGAGCTCCTGGTTAAACTGCTCCTCTTCCTCAAAAAGTAAGTGTTGTAGAAACTGTGGAACCGACTCCCAGTTGGTTTTCTCACAGAGAAGATCAATAAACCCCATATAAAGGATCAATGTTTTCACCCGTGATCATTAATCTCCATTTAACTCTAATTAGGGATGAGGTTCAGTGGTATAGAGTATAGAGCAACAGTGTGTGACTCCTGCTCTCAGCAGCTTTTCATCCACTCCTCCTGAACATTGGCCTGGGCTGAAGTTTGAAAACTCCTTCACCTTTTCATACTTGGCGAAGCCTCCCATGACAGCCGGGTCCACAATACCGTTGAGCAGCATGGAGAGGGGGTTGATGGGAAGGCTCCAGTCAGTCTGATACTGGTTGATCATGGTGAGAATCTTCTCATTGGTGGACTCCATGGTCTCTATGGCGTTCTCCAGGGGAGAAAGAGTCGTCTGGAGGAAGAAAGAAAAATAAATACCACATTAGAGTGAATGGAATAAATCTACTGGGAATATGTGACCTTATAAGACACCACAGCATATCCTACTAATACTAGGAAGGGCTCCATACAACTTTTTCATGTCAGATACTGATACTGCAACTTGGAGTATCTGGCAGTACCGTTATCAATCCGGTACCTTCTTTTCTCGTCCGGCAGGCTGTTGTTGTTTTTGATGATGTTCGATGCTGAATTTTTGACGGATATCGATACCGATCGAGCCCTCCATAGCTAATACTACATTAGAGACTTTTGGATTTGATCCATATTGACATATTGGCAAATCATTTATTCAACTTCTTCTAAATGGTAACTACTGTGGAAGCCTTAAATCACGGGAGTGAACTAAAGTAAAGCAGCTAAGCCAAGCAGTGGAGTTTTCTTACATGTTTCATATCAGTAGCTTCAAACCAGCGCAGGATCCCAGGCAGCTTGTACACAGTGGTGAAGGTTGTGCGTTCAATCCACATGGACTTAAGGAAGAGAAATAAACACACGAGCAGTGAGTCAGATCTTTCCAAACAACCACTGCATAAACCAATTTCTAATCTCATACAAAACAGCGGCTGCATCCACTCTTATCATTTAAAATATTACTGTACTTTAATGCATTAAATGTTCTGTTTTTGTACGGGGGCCAGGATAACATCCTTACAGAATGATAACAGCGCAAGCACACAATAACTTTGCACAATCTCTGTGCTCATAAATCTTACTGCAAACTCATTGTTGGGGTCCACGGGTCCTTTCCTCACAGGTCTGGAGTAGTGGAAGCGCTGCACGTAGTTGGCCTTGTAGAAGCTTCGTGGTGTCAAATGTTAAAAAAAGGAAAAGAAAAAAAATTATATTATCGAAAATAAAAATGATGTGTTTTAGCGTTAGCCTATCGCTATACAGTACAGACATTGTTCATTGTACTGGGTTATAAGGAGGAGGAGATAAAACAGCACTGACTTAATAATCTGGTCAGGAACCGGTTTGTTCTTCAGGCGAGGAGGGATCTCCAGAACCGGGTGGACTGTGAAACACTGGATATCTGAGTCACAGCACTCAGGAAGGACAAAGGAGAACATGGAGAACATGAGGGGGGGATCTACACATCTATATTCATGGGGGTTCAGCCTGTTGGCTGAGGGAACGCTCTGACCTTTAGCAATGCACTGATAATATAAAGTATGGATTTTTATTGAAGGAGAAAATCTACAGAAACTGAATCATGGGATTTTAGTATGTGTATGGGTGTGTGTAGTATGGGTGGTGGCACTTTGTGCTTCATTCAGTGTATGAAAAGTGCTTAGTTTGAAGATTTAGCTGATAACTGATAAGGTGGCAATGTGTGTGGCCTTTACTGTGAAAAAAAATGATTTTTTAAAATCTAAAACCAGATGATCATGTACTAATTCATTCACTGCTGCATGCAATGATAACAATACATGTGTCAACCAGCGCTGCTTTCCTGGACTGTGTTCTGTTATTGCTACAGTCTGCTGTCTGAAGGATACACTGGAGGGAGGAGTTTTTGATTTCATCTCCAGGCATGGTGGTGGTGTTGAGGCGCACAGCACTGGGAAACTGACTCATCAGCTGGTTCTGGAAATCTTCCCTGCGTTCGTACTCTTTTCCCCGGTGAATAAACACCTTGTTCTGAAAGGGAAAAACAGAACATCCTGGTGGTTATAATTACTTTGATTTATTATTCACTGATGACATACATGTACAACCTTCAGTGTGTATATATATATATATATATTTTTTTTTTTTTCTACTTCAGTAGACCGTGACCTCAACACACACCCTGATAAATGGAGGGTAGCCTTGTCCGTAGTAGCCAACTGCAAAGTAGTCGGGTTTAGGCCTCAAGATCTTCATGATGTTCTCGTAGAACTTGGCCTGTTTCTCCTGCAGACAAAGACCAGAGGATTGAGTTTTACATGAGCACTGTGGGTGAATCTGTGAGGATTTTATCCTCACAGGTCAGTGACACAGCAATAGTAACATTATAAGAGACAGACATTCCCATTGCTGGATTGTTGGAGAGGAGCAGAAAAGTAAAGCCATAATCTTGACTCTCCACAAATGAGTGAGTTTTACTATAGTGACAAAGTAAGGGATGGAAAAAACAAACATGGGACAGGGACCACAAAAATGCAATAATAATAATCTGGAATTCATGAATTGGTTAATCAAATAAATATTTATTTAAAAAAACCTATTCAAACCCAATGATGATTCTGAAGATTCTTCTTGAAATAAATAAATAACCAAAAATATTTGTTTTTTTTAATGCAGTTACTGTGTAATGTCCATGTGAATCGTCTAAGAATCAAATATAAGTAACAATGTCCTCGAGGCGTAAATGCTATTGTTTCACAGTAAATGAGAAAAAGATGAATTTGTTCAATGCCTAATTTTGTTTTCAGCATATAATATTTTATTATACCTCTAAAACTATGCTAATGGAGAGAAATTCTGAATAAAAAAAACCCAATCTGAACGTTGCCTGAAAACAAGCAATTTGCAGTAAGGTTCTTTCCAAAACCGAATCCTTCTTCATTTCGCAGACACCTTCATAAAGCCAGATCATCTATTATTTGAACTTAGCAGCAGCAGAACGTAGGAGAGAAGGAAATTTAGATGAAAGAAAAAAAAGATGTATCAATGATTGAGAATGTTCTGGATTACCAGTCGTTTGCTGAGCAACTCGTAATCGAAGATCTCATTTTCGTACTGTTCGGCCAGTTCCTTGCACAGAGTGATGGCCTCCTCCCACATCTGAGCAGATACATATAAACACGAGGCAAAAAAACAAAAACAAAAAACAAAAATCAAGAATCATTTATTATGGCATCTGTTAATAAATCCACAGCAGCTGCTGCGGGGGTTATTCCTCTTTGAGCAGGGCTTTGGGGAGACGGAGATGTGGCTCCGCTTCAGAGGGTGCACCAGACTCAGCAAGAACACAAAGTGAAAGTGACACCAACATATAACGTACCATATAGACTGACACCATCTTTACTGGATGATTGATAAAATGTTTTTCAAAATAAAAGTCTAGGCTGGCGTTAAGGGCTGTGTAAGCCACTCCATTCATTTGACCTGTTTTTTTGTCAATTCACACACCTTTAACTTGGAGACATCCATGTATGTTATATTATTTACAATATACACATACATTTATACAGTAGAACATTTATGTGAGTAAAAGTAATAGAGTAAAGTTATTTATCAAATTAACTCATTTTTACGTTTAACGTCTATGAAAATCACAAAGGGTGAATCTCACAAGAACACAAAGAAATTCTGAAATCATTTATTTGATTTTTTATTTAACAGTTTTAAACCACAAATATGTTTTGACTGCTTAATTCCATCTGCTAGGTCTTCAACCAAATATAATAGACTATGATGAACTTCAGATGCATTAAACACATTTTATCTCCTGTAGGGAACCCGTTGGTGATAACAGTTTAAACAGTTCAAATCATAATGACAGTAAATATATTATGTTTGTTATAAGCCCCCGCCCCACCTTTTGATTTCTAAAAAAAAACTCTATTTAAAAAAAAAAAGTTTTACCTTGCCCTTGTCAAAGTAGTCTATGATGTCATCGTACAGCGATTCTTTGAGCTGCCGTTGTGTTTGGGAACCACAGATCTCAAACTGGGGGCTGCACATCTCATCTGACCACTGAAACAGAAAAACTATTTTTAAAAACAAGTCATTATAAACACTGTAGTTTCCTTCGCTCTACCAAAGCAGGAGAAGATTCAAACCCGGCTGAAACATTTCTCACAGTGTAACATTTTTCAAGATGTCGATACGAGGGAAAAAATGTCAGAGTGTCTGGGTTGTAATTAATCAATATTGGCCTTAAATAGAGTTTGGAAGAAAAAAAAAACTGCAGCGGAGAGATCATTTTTCATGTAAATGAGGCAACAGTTCAACCCCATATTATTTAAAGCAAATTTAAAGACTAAACAAAAACAGATAGATCTAAAAAGCCAGTCAAGAAGATGAACAAAGCAGAAGATGAAACAGTGCCTTCGACCAGTTAATGCTGAACAGGCCGCTGACTCCACTGACACCCAGGACGAATGGACACTAATAAAACATTACAGAGTTCACCTGCTGTGATGTAATGACTCCAGACAGAGGGGACAGACAGCGTGAACCGTCCCCCTTTTCTCTGTTCCTGTCTGTGAAGCTTCAAGTGTCCCATAAAACAGATGAGGGGAGGAGAGAGGTCTTAAACAGACACAGTCTCACACACACACACACACACACACACTGAGACCTGTGCACACATACACACATGCACACTGAATACCACAAAGTCACCAGTTATGAGGTAATAAAATAAAGGCTCATTAGTCAAGAGATGTGTGTAAATGTGTGTATGTGCACATGGCTATTCTTGTATATGTGTTGTTATGCAGGCCAAGTTTGATATAAAACCACTTTTTGACATTGTGAGGACATTCTGCAGGTCCTCAATAACTTTACAAGATTTTTTTTTATCTGATACTTTTTAAAGAGTGGATTAGGAATGTATTAAATATGTTTATTATTTTTTATTAATCTCTGCATGAACGAAGGGTTTCTGTTCTGTTGTGTTCTACCTTCAGCAGACGAGAGTGAAGCAGCAGTGTGTATGCGGCCTCAGTGAAGTTGTCTCCCTCCAGGTGAAGGTCTCTCAACTTGTAAAGGTATCTGGACACAGAGAGGAGCAAACACACTATGTAACAAATGCACCAATCCACTAGATGCCACTGTTGGGCAGCATGAAAATCTATAAATTACCTTCACGTATCAGGCACATGTGCGTCACAGCATGGAAACGTCATACATTAACATGAGTGTTCACTCACAGAGACACAGTGGACAAATGTTTTCTAACGTCCTGACGGACCTTTGGAGAACAAGAAAATGTACGTCTAATAACAAGGAGAATACAAATGTTCCCAGTGATGCAGCCTCTTTGCTTGTGTTTTTTGTTTTTTTATCTTTTAATGCATTTATTCCATCTGCCTGAAAATAAAAAAATTGAAACTTCCTTAGTGGCTGCTATTTCTTTGGGTGATATAAGGTGATATTGAAAAGGTCAAAACTAGAGTTTGTGTTTTACAGGGAACGACCTGTTTGTTTGGTTAGAAGACATGCACTCATCAGTTCTCCTTAGTTTCTTTCTGGTTTAATATTGTTACTTTGACAGATAGTCTGATTCCAGTCTGATTTCTTACTGTTGTGACTCTTCCCTGTCAACCTAATTTTAACCTTTGCTTCTTTATCCAATTCTTTTGGTTTGAGAAATATTACCAGTTTCTTCAGTACCTCCCTCCCCGTCTGTCTTGTATCTATCTTTCAAATAAAAAAAACCCTTTTGGGACATGCTGTAGTGCAGAACCTGAATTAGAATTAGCATTTAACAGTGAGCACATTATAAACATTTGATTTCCTGTCTATTGAATCACATCTTACATCTTCAACAAATATTCTAATTTATAAATGTCAGTTTAACAAGTAAAATAAAGCTCAGAGGGAAACAAACAAACAAACAAACCATCTGTCTGGGTAAACACATTCATTAGGTGACAGGTAGGTGGCATCAGTGCTATCAAAGATGCTTGCTGCTAATGAAATCCAGAAAGGAGAAGAAAGAAGCAGCAGCCAATAATGTGGCGAGGAGATCTTTCAACAATTGTGTTTACAGCTCCTCCTTAAATGGCACTAAATGTACTTTGTTTACTGGCACTAACTCAATGTTCCTTCATACACTACATCTATAATAAAAAATAAAAATAATATGACCCCCAAACTTAACTTTGTTTTGCAACTGCAGTTTCTTTTTCCCCACCAGGTGGATATATTTCTAGAATAAACGCTTTAAACAGCCACACACTCTCAGAGCATCACACCCCTGGGTGTTACTGTCCCACAGCACCGATAGTTTAAAAAAAGACATTTCCTTACGGCTTAAAGAAAATAAATATTTATAGTTTAATGGTTTGCAGCAGCAGCTCCGATGTATCTGCGTCGCTTGTTGTTTAAATGAAAAGGAAATAGCTGAAGGGAACGATTTGGCTGAATTGGAGGTGATACATCTGTTGGTGGCAGAGAATAGAAAATAAGGTCTGTTTTTTTGTGTACAAACAGCTGAAATGAGTGCACATGATTAAGAAATGGAAAAAATGCCTTTAAAAACTGTGGTTTCTATAAAAGTTCAACTGAGACCCTAAATAAAACCAAAGGACTGAGAATGAATATGTTAGTAACAACATTTTCCTTTTTTCAAATTTTTACCATGATGCTAAAAATGTAATGAACAAATGTGATGTGTTTTTAAAAACAGTCTCCATATATTAATATGTTTAAAAACATAGTATGAAATGAATGTGACATTTTCTTTTCAGGGCTCCATTGTAACATTACAGTCAGATAATTCCCAACAGCACTAACTGTTATTTGTTCTGCTCTCAGTCTCCCTGCTGTTAATGTGGGCAATGAAGATGCAAATTAATTATTATATAATTGACAGGCAGAGAATTTACATCATTACTTTGTGATCTGTGTCTCTGATAACATTTAAAGGATAACAACATACAATAAGCAACACATGTCCAATGAACAAAAATGTGTTCTTACTAATGAACCCCCACCAATATTCACCTTTCCCATCTCTATGCCCTTCACCAGACTCTGTCTCTCTCTCTCTCTCTCTACTGCCCCACTCCCCCTTCTGCCCCCCTCCCTCTGGCATCAGCCCTAGAGCTGATCCTGTGGATTCCAGCATTAATTCAGTGGGACTCATATAATCCCTGTCAGATTATGGAGCTAACACATACATGAACATGCGTCCGGACACACGGGCATAAACACACGACACAGAAAGTAGAAAAGAAAAAAAAAAATCACATAAATACCTGATGTACATTCCTTCACGATTACTGTCCTTGTAAAAGTTCTGCAAAAACCAAAAGAAGTGGGATTAGTAGAATCTGACTAAGATTCACTGTGAAGCCAAATGTGTCTATTCATATCAGAGGCGTCGTAAGGTCAGATAAATCATCGTTGCCGTCTGATTTTAACTCCGGAAAGTCAATTTCCTGCTGGAAGCTGTCCATGTTTTTGGAAGGTCAGGTGTTTTCATTCGCAAATGTCACGTTTGACCAGATTTTGGAGTGCACAACGAACTTTATATCGCGCCACCATCAGCCCAACAAAGATGGCTGCACTCCAAAATGCCAACTTGTTTTGGCAACGGTCAGAGTCTGTGAGACGATAACAATAGTTGTAGCAAATTGATTTTTTTGTTTGTTTTTTTTCATTCCGCCAGTGAACAAGTTTCTCAGAGCACCTCGTACAGTTGTTTTACTGCGTAGAGTATCTAATATTTGTGTACTAGTTTGTTTTCTTCTTCAAGTACAAGAAGATTCCTGTATTAGTAAAAAGCAATGCATACATATACACACACGCATATATATATATATATATATATACATATATATATATATATATATACATATATATATATATATATATACATATATATATATATATATATACATATATATATATATATATACACACACGCACTGCTACCAGAAACAGTTCAATTATCAACCACTTCCTCCCTCTTTAACAGGTGTGTTTCCAGAGGAACCCAGAGAGGCTCCATTTACGGCGCTCAGTGATTTAAAGGACCTACAAATCTGCAGAAGGGATTAATTATTCAGCCCAGCAAATGAAAGAGAATAGC